AGTGGCTGTTGTGTTAGATCCCTCAGGACAGGTAAGAGATGGAAGCTTTATCTGTTCTGAGGATGCTGCCAGGCCCCACCCCCTGCAAGCTCTCTCTGAGACCCGGCCCCCCACCCCTCCAAGGGGCTGGCTGCAGGGAAGTTCTTGCAGTTCCTTAGTTACCTCCCCCAGCAATCCTGCACCATCTGCTTCCCATCTCCTGGACTGGAATGCAGGACAAATCGATGCTGGGGTGGGAGCAGCAGGGGCTTCAGTCACTGCCCCCTCCCAACCACCCCAGCAGCATTTCCTTTCACTGGAATTCACACCATACACCTCTGAGAAAAGGGGGTGCCGCTGTTGGAAGCCAAGGTGGCTGCCTAGCGGAAAGCCCTGCCCGTCTGGGGCAAGGCCACACTCTGCACCTGGCCTGGGACAGGATGAAGAGCCCGGCAGGCGCAGTCAGGCGTGGGGAAGTCAGCAGCTGCTGGCCACTGGCTGGGCTTCTCCAGCACCCTGCACTGTGTAGATGTTGACACTCGAATGAGATGCAGATTGGTTAAATAGTTACTTCCTCAGTTTTCCAGGCTGTCCGTTTAAATTAATTTTTAATTTGCACAGGCAATAAACGCTAATTACATTATTAATATATTGGAAGAGAGCAGTGGACAGAACGTCCTAATTGGCATTTAACTAGAGCGTTCCAGCAAATTAACTAAGACTTTCTCCAGCAGTGGAAGGATGGCAAGCCAATTAGTCCCAGGCACAGCCTCTTGGGCTGGAAAAGCTAGGCCAGGCCCCTTCCCCCGGGACCCAGGAGTGCAGGCACACCCAGCTTCTAGCTGAGCCAAGCTTAGGAAGAACTTTCTGCAACTTAGGCTCCTTCCACTCAAATCTCAACCCTTGTCCCCAGCCTCCCACTCGACCCTCAACAGAGCAGATGACCAAACGCTGGGTGGCCTGGAGACGGGACCCACCTGAGATGTACCCACCATCACCCCACCTCGGCTGTGGGCCCAGGACTAAGCTGGCTGGGCGGTCAGAGCTCTCCTCTCTATACTATGGAGGCTCCTCTCCCATCGTCCTTACCTTGCCCCCTCTGGTTGCAGAGGGTTAAGGGAATGAACTTGATGAATTGAGAGATTCATTATCCACTTACACAAGCACTCATTCACTTGGTCACTCTTGGCCAGACACTGTGTGATACTGTGATGGTCCCACCCAGAGTCCCTACTCTTAAAGAATTCAGATCCTCCAAGAGCCTCAAATTCCAGCCAGTGGCATGCTGGGCCGGGCTGACGCTAAGCTGTGTGTAAAGCGCTTGGTAGCACAGAACAGGAATGGCTGCTTCTGTTTGGGAAGGTCGAAGAGGTTTGATGGATGAGGTGACATTTCCCCTGGGCCTTGAAGGATATATAGGAATTCTTCAGACCAGAGGTGTGTTAAGAGTATTCCAGGCCAATTGAGAATTTAGCATCTTATATTAGTTCTAAAAGAGATTATCCAAGGGTGCCAAATATATGATGACAGAAGATGATTTGACTTTGGGTGGTGGGTACACAGAGCAATATACAGATTATGAATCAAAGAAATGTATACTTGAAAGCTATATGACCCTTTTGACCAGTGTCACCCCAATAAATCTAATTTAAAAATAAATAAAAAGTAAAAGATATCAGTCTAATCCAACATGCTCATCTGGCACGTGAATTGAATGAAGCCTACAGAGGACACTTAAGGTCTGGCAACCAAACCATCAGAGAGCATGTTCCAAACATGCCCAAGGGCAGGGCATGTCCTAAGCAGTAGGAAGGGGGGAATCTGGCGGAAGGGGGTAGCACTATTGTAGGTGTCAGGAACAGCGCTTAGTGTTAGGCTAGTGGGGTCACACCCTCACTGTGGGTTCAGCAACCTCAGACCTGGGTTCAGCAACCTCAGTACTTGGGTTCTGGCTAGGAAAGAATTCAGAGCCAAGACCCGAACTATAAGAGAACATTTTTTTGGTAAATCACAGAGGTGGAAGAAGTAATTCCTAGAAGAAATGGGCTAAGGAAACAAGTTATAGAGGCAAAGGAAGGGCCCTTGGAGCTTGGGAGTGAGGAAGGTAATGGTAATGTGCCTGGGGTGGGGGTGGCACAAGCTAATACCAGGAGGGAAAGCGCACTGGGTCTTCCGTCCTAAGGATTTTAAGCGTGGAGACCTTAGGGAAGGACCCAGGGAAAGATCTCAATAGAATATTCAGCAGCTTTCCAGGTGTGACCTTTCAGGCTTGTGGTCTCCGCTGACTGATTGGCCAGCGCTAGGGCACACCATCTAATGCAGCTGCTCCTGAGGTCAGACGTAGCTGGTTTTGTTGCTTTTCTGGGCCTGGAGCTAGAATACAACCGAGGCCTAGATACTATCTCTAGGGAGGAAAGGTCAGGGGGTCCAAACCACATATATGCTAGGGGAGGAAGGGCCACCCTGGGGGTGAAGTCCTACCCGACAATTGTCCTTGCTAAGCATCCAGGACTTCCCATCCTGGTGACCTTCTGTCCCTTGCCCATCTCCTTGCTCTGCTCATGTCTGTCTAACTGCCCACCACATCCTCAAGGGTCTTGGCTCTGAATTCTTTCAGAGGAAAAGGGTGCAGGGTCTCTTCTGTAACTGCTTCCTGCTGAAAGAGGGTGATGTTTTCCTTCAGAGCCAAGAGAGACATTGTCGCTCCGTCAGAGGGACAATGAGGACCGGGCACAGGAGCTGGTGATGGTGTCAGAGGTGGTTTTCCCTGAGTGTAAGTAGGCCTTGTAACCTGGTGGAGACAAACTGTTATAGATCTTAGTATTATTGGGGCAAAACTTAGAACATCAAGAATTATAAAAAATGGTCTGGTGGAAGGCAAAAGTGTTTTTAGTTCTTAAAAATTCCAAGTCAAAGGACAGGAGAAAAATGAAACATTCGTTTGGAGGGTGGTATCCAATATAAATTCAGGACCCAGTTCAACTCATAGGTGAAAAATAAAACTTTGAAGACAATTTTATTTGAATCAGAGTCTAATAATCACAAATGTGTATTATATAGTCTATTGAAACACATTTTCCCCCTAAAATCACCCTCATTTATATTAAAGAGCCAAATTAAGACCAATTTATTTACTGTATTAAGTCTACTTTCAATTTGGCCTGGTTATTTGCATAAATACAGTAAGAGTAGCAATTGGTCATATAGGCTTTTA